CCCTTAGTTTACTTGTAGCTGTTACACTGGGCCCAGGCCAGAACCTCACTCAGACTGCTGTACATGGAGCACGTCACTGAGCCTGCCCCATCTGCAAAGCGGGAGTCATCAGACCGCTCCACAGACCCGAGAGATGAAATGAGAAAGTGGGAGAGGATGTGGGAGTGTATGCATTCTCTTTCTGAGTAACAAATTACCCCAAAGTTAGCAGCTTAAAACAATGCCCATGGGACAGTTCTGTAGTGAGAAGTCCAGGTGGCTTCAGCTGGATTCTCAGCTCAGGGTCTTGTAAGGCCAAATCAAGGGTAAGCTGCCTGGGCCTCTGTCTAGAAGCTCTGGGAAAGAGCCTGCTCCCAAGTTCTTTTGGGTTGCAGCAGAACTCTGCTCCTGAGGTTGTAGGACTGAGGTGCTGTTTCCTTGCTGGGTGTCTGAGTTCCTAGAAGTTGTTCTGTCTCTGGTCCTCTCCATCTTCAAGTCAGCAAAAGTACATGGAATCCCCCCTCTGGTGCTTCACATCCATGGTTTCCTCTCCAGCCACCCTCCAGAGAAAACCCTGCTTTTAGAGGGCTCGTGTGATCTTACCAGGCACGCCTACCAGATAATCTCCCTTTTGATTAACTCAAAAGTCAACCGATTCATAATATTAATTAGGTGCTTGAAATCCCTCTGCCTTGTGATGTTACAGAATCAGGGGCTTGATATCATATTCGGGGATCAGGGTGGGAAAACCTGGGAGCTATATTTAGAATTCTGCCTAGCTCAGGGAGCTAAAGCCTTCGGCATTCTTGTCTAAGGGCTGAACTACTCTGACTACTGGGTTTCCTCCCTCTGCCCCAGCTTCTGGGAATCTTCAAGACCTGAGCGGGGAGTCCTGCTTCAGGACCTCTGGGACTTTGCTGGTGCCCATCACCTTCTCCCTTCCAGAGCTTCAGCCACCCACCCTACCCAAGTCTCTGCTGGGCTCCACCCGTCTCTGCACGCTCTCTCAGCACTGCACCATCCTCGTGATCAGTGGTGGGCATCTACACTCACCTACCCTCTCTCCGCCCACTAGACTCTGCTCTCTTCCCCTATCCCAGGGGATGCCTTTCAGGCCCTATTTCCCTGGCGTTATGTCCAGGGCAGCGATGGGTTCTGTCCTGTAGTGTGTTGTATGACCAACACCTGGCCCAGGGCCAGGGGCACAGTGGCTACTCCGCAAACACTTGTTGTCAGTCCTCTGGGTTCGTGTATCTGTGGGGTCCATTCATCAAAGTGCTTTTCTCCCTAACACATGCCATCTCCCACCCCTGTAGCAAGTAAAGCCCCGTCACACTCACCCCTCAGCTGGAGGGCAGTGAGCCAAGCGAGGGGCTGAGTGTGTGGGACCCTCAGGATGAAATGCCACCAGTAACTCTGTTCAGTCACACATACACGCACGAGAGAGAGAGAGAGAGAGAGAGAGAGAGAGAGGGAGAGAGGGACTCTGTGTCCCCTCTGGATCATAGCTGGATAGCTGGGGAGGGCGAGCCACCACCAGGCTTCCACCCCTCCCCAGACCTGGGCCTCGGCTCAGTGATCTCTCTAGGAGTTTATTTGTTGCTGGCCTTAATCTCTTTTCATTTTGTCCCTGAATTTAGGCCTGTGTTCTCATCCCCAGGGACCCACCCATTTCCTCTTGGGAGTCCAGCCCAGGACAGTGTGGTTTGAAGAACGTTCTAATCCCAGCTCCAAAGCTCCGAGAGAAAAAGATGACTAAAACCCCTGGAATGCGGAGCCTGCTGCTTCCTGCAAAGCGTTTTGAATGAAACAGAACCAACAGCTGCAGCACAGAGAATGGAAACTCTGAGGGACATCATGGCTCCCGGTCCTCGGGTAGCAAGGCTGTGAGTAGAACAAGCGCATTATTTGGGCCCAGCCCGGATGCCCTCCATGCCCACCCCTCCTTGCTCTCCTTCCAGGAACCAGGTCTGTCATGCCAGCGATGTGCTCCTGTGGCTCCCTTATTCCAAACACCCCACGGCCCCCTGCCCAAAGTCCCAGGCTCTTTGTGGGAAGTGGTAAGACCCTTTCCCATTCGCCAGCCCCCGAAGGCATCTAAGACCCCACAGCCCAAACCCTCTGCCCTCTGAGGAGCAGAGGGTGAGCACAGCCTCCAGCGTAGGCCCCACCCTGGAACCAGCCCCAGGCCAACTCGGGCAGTGCTGGCCAACTCTCGCAGAGCACGCTAGGAGAGCCGCACCTGGGGCTGCCGTCAGGGTGGACTTGAGGCATGTGGGGAAGGACAGGCAGTCCCATCAGGAGCAAAAGGCCTGAGACTGAGAATTCAGGGAACTCTGAAAGATCACTCCCTCATAAAGGGAGAACACGTTAACATTTTTTCAATTTCTTTATGGAGATGTAATACACAGGCAGCAAACTTCACTGATTTTCCCGATACAGCCCAATGAATTTAAATACATATATAACACTTGAATCAAAATACAGAACATTTCAAATCCCCCAGAAGGTTCTCGGGAGCCCCTTCTCAGTCAATATTTGTCCCCTTCAGAGATCACCACTCTTAAGAGATTTCTCTCACCATCTATTAATTTTGCCCTTCATTTTTGGACTTCAATGAAATGGAATCACAAACAGTGAGCGCTCTTGCTACCAGCGTATTTGGCCCCAGCAAGTCTATGAGAGTCACCCTTGTGGCAGACACACTGGCAGCCTCATGGCACCTACTGTGCTCCGGGTGCTGCACACAGGATGGCATGTTGATTTTTTGCACTGAAGCCTTGTTCTTGAGCCCACTTTGCAGATAAGGAGGTCAGTTAAATCAGCCACATAGTCAGGACATGGGGAGCTGGAATTCAAGTCCAGGATAGATCAAGTCCAGAGCTAATTCTCTTTTCTCTTTCCTCTACAGATATAAGAAGACCTGCTCCCATTACACCAGGAAGTGGGAAATACTGCCTCAGAGATCCATAGGCTAGAATTTCCTCACGAAGGAGACTCATTTCAGGCATTTGTGCACCCGAGCCTGACAGGAGCCCTGTTTTACTCAGTGCCCCCCGTCCATGGGGATGTAGGTAAGGCAGAAGCAGAGGGGTAAGCATTGGGAGAGGAGGGCATCTCAGAGCACCAGGCCCAGTAAAAGTTTGGGGAGGAAACAAGTGAAGAAGTTCATTCATTTAGTCGGCCAATATTTATTGAGCACCTACTATATGCCAGGCACTGTCTAGGCATTTAGTTTTGGGTTATCTACAGCTATGTAACAAGCCACTCGAAAGTGTAGTGGCTTAAAATGAACAATAAACACTTAGCATCTCTTATGATTTTATAAGTTGACTGCACAGTTCTACTGATCTCACCAGGGTCTCTTATGCTGCTACAGTCAAATGACAGGTGGAACAGCAGTTATCTGGAAGCTTGACTGAGCTGGCAGAGTCAAGATGGCAGATTCTCATGTCTGGTGCCTGGGCAAGAACCCAGAAGGCTGAGCTCAGCTGGGCCTCTAAGATTGCTGGATTCCCTCTCTCTCTGCATACTCTTATAGTATCTCCTTCCCATGTGACCTTTCCGGGTCTCCTTTCCACGTGGATTTCTCCAGCAGGGTTTTCAGACTTGTGATATGACAGTTCAGGGCTTCCAAAAGTGCAAAGGTGGAAGGCCCTGAGCTTTATCATAGTTTAGCCTCACACCAGCAGCTACAAAGGCTTACCCATGTACATGGGAGGGGTCATCAATTCCATTTCTTGATAGAAAATGTGTCAATAAATATGAACCATGTTTAAAACCAGCACAGTCTATCGGCTGGATATAAATTATTTACGTTCCTCCCACATGCAAAATACACTCCCTCCCTTCCCATGATCCCCAAAAGTCTCACCTATTATGGCATCAGGTTTAAGCCAGAGGTCCTGGACCCCATCATTTAAACCAGGGATGTCCAACCTGTGGCCCAGGATAGCTATGCATGCGACCCAATATAAAATCATAAATTTACTTAAAACATTATGATATTTGTTTTGTGATTATGTGTTGCAATGTATTTAATGTGTGGCCCAAGACAACTTTTCTTCTTTCAGTGTGGCCCAGAGATGCCAAAAGGTTGGATATCCTAAACCATCCAGGGATGAAGAAAATCCCTCAGAAGCAATTCCTCAGTCAACTCCTTGAGTACTATTTCTCTTTATCTAAAGACTTGTGAATGAAAGAGAAAAGTTATCTGCTCCAGGCACACCCCACGCACAATGATGGGGCAGGCATAGGATAAGTACTATGAACACTCCCATTCAAGGGTGGGAGAGAGGAAGGCACACAGCAGTCACTGGTCCATAGCAATTTTGAAATCCAGACAAGTACATAATGCTAGTTTCTTCTTCTTCTTCCTCTTCTTCTTCTTCTTCTTCTTCTTCTCCTTCTCCTTCTCCTTCTTCTTCTTTCTTCTTCTTCATAATGCTAGTTTCTTCTTCTTCTTCCTCTTCTTCCTCTTCTTCTTCTTCTTCTTCTTCTTCTTCTTCTTCTTCTTCTTCTTCTTCTTCCTTCTACTTCTTCTTCTTCTTCATAATGCTAGTTTCTTAATGAGGGCTCACTTCTACTGCCCAGAAATGCTCTCAATGGCTCTTGACTCTGTCCTCTGGGCTCTTGGTTCCACTTCTGAATCACCCATCCTTTACTATAAAAAATGACAGATGTCTGCAACTGAGTAGTTTTCTCAGCCTGCTTGCTTCTTGGGGGCTCACGATCCAAAAAACTTCGGGGCATTTATTTTTACTTTGTTCTATTCTGTCCCTTTTAGTCTGAGCCAGTGGTGCTTCTGACAATATAACTCTATTTAAGATGTTATGGGTTCCCTGTGAGTCCTGTTGAGCTTCCCTTTGCTAGTCAAAAGCTATACCCCAGATCTCATGAAGGTCAGACATTCTCTATCTTGAGCTGTTTGTGGAGCTGTTGAGGGAAAATCCCTTAAAATTCTTAGAAGCCCTATGTTTAATAAAGAGGATCTGTGAAGCATGCTCTTGAAGTACTCAGAGGGCCTTTGTCTATCTGAAAGACTTTATGAAGTGTTAGATCTTTCTGAGGTTTTAACAGAGGTTCTTATGGTCCCGTCTGTGTTTCATTCTTGTCCTGAAGCCCTTTCATTTCAGACTTTGAGAATTTTTTCGCCATCTGGGGAGGATGAGAATGAGAAACAAGATTTATTTTGAAGCCCAGCAAATTTCTGGCTTTTTAATATTGTCTATAAATTTGGCTTGAAAATTTCCTTTTAACACATCTTTTTTTCTCTTTATCCTATGCAGCTAAAATAGTCCATTTGGCACCTCCAACATTCTGCTTAAAAATCTCCTCTGCCCAAACCATTAGGTCATTTGATATATTTCTATATTTCTATATGTCCACATCACTTCAAGTGACACTGTTGCTGAATTTTCCTCCACTACATGATATGGGTCCCCTTTCCTATTGCTTCCAAGAACTTTTTCCTCACCTCCCTTGAAGACCTCAGCAGTAGCCTCCTTTAGGGCTGTTAGACTTCCACTAACAATAGCATCAAAACCCTTACCATCCCTGCCCAACTCTCAGATCTAAGCCACAGATTTGGGTTTTGTTATGGCAGCTCTCCCCTTCAAGGTAACAAAAAGTCCATCCATATCAGCGATCCATTGCATTATAACAAACCGTCCTTAAACAAAGGTCTTAAAACAGTAACAATCATGTATCTTGCTCACAAATTTGGGAATTGACAGACAGTTCTCACTTAGGATCTCTCTCATGAGTTTTCTATCAATTGGTGGCTGAGGCTAAGGTCAGCTCAAATGCTTCTTCATTCTCATGCCTGGGGCCTAGGCTAGGAAGACTCAAAACAGCTTGGGGCTGGCTGGCTGGAGCTCCTCGGGCATCTCTGTCTTTGAATGTGGTCTCTCTACAAGGCAGACTCAGGGCAGTGGAATTTCTTTCAAGGTGGCAAAAGGCTGCCAAAATGAGTGTCTCAAAAGGAGCCACCAGAAGCTACATGGTCTTTTCTAACCTGGCCTTGGAAACTGTACAGTGTTACTTCTGCATTGTATGTGTCTAGGCACTCTCAAATCCCCACCCAAGTTCAAGGGGCAGGGACACTCTTAATGAGAGGAGAGTTACAGATTGTGGACATGTTTTAAAACCATTACAAGAGGTTAAGTAATACGTCCAAGACCACATAGGTGGAAAGTGACAGAGCTGAGGTTTGAACACAGACACTCTGATTCCAGACTCACATCCTTAACTGTGAGTCTACACTTCCTCCTGTATCTGTAGACACGGAGGTAGATAGTGAACGATGCAGAAGTGGGTGGGTTCTCTGTCATGGGAAAGCTCCTGACTTGCTTTTCTATTCTCAGCTGTCTCTCAGAAAGGTAGTGGGACTTCACATTGGCTGCAGGGGACGGCCTGAATGTAAAATGATGTAATGAATCCGAGCTGGTGCAGCCTTCTCTCAAGGCATTCTCTCCTCCCTGTGACCGTTTCCTTCCCTGTGGCCACCAGTGCCTACGCTGTGGTTCCCACGTCACTCCCACCACAACCTGAGACTGGCCCCCGTGCAATTTCTCACCTTCTCACCAGGTGTGCTCCCGTGGGAGAAGGAGGAGTGTCCTCGACATTTCGGGAATACCTGCCAGACTGTTTGGTGGAAAGCCTCCTCCAAAGCTTGAATTATTCATCAGGAAAAGATGAGGCTTCTGTCGACTTGAGCAGCCCATGAAGTTTTCTTAAATTTCCTTTAAGGCTTGACTTTCAGCGGACTTGGACACATGAGATTAAACATTATTACATCTTTGCCACGAGCACTGAAGCCCTAGGTAGGGCTTGCAGTGTAGACGACCATTTCCAGGAAACCTTGTCTGGAACAATGCTTCACACTCTGAGTGACACTCTGACGCCGAGGACAAATCAGCCAGGAGACAAACGGTGGGCAGGCAGGGCCACAGTGAATGGTTAGCAACCTGTGTACTGCCTGAGGGGGCTGGCCAAGGAGGTGCGTGGAGTGGGGCCTGAAAACAAGCCCCACGTTCCACTGGCCACACCTTTCATCCTGGTGAGGGGCTGTGTCCGCCTGGAAGAGAGAACAGATTTTCCTAACTTGTCTGCCCAGAAGGGTGTCTTTTTCTAGCTCAATACCACATGGGCTAGCAGCAGCACTAGGGGAAGGCTGGAAGGTAGAATAGAATATATTTACTTAGTCTACAGGACAAGTGACTGAAATCAACCTTGGCAAATAATGATAATAAATTTGCTAAATTTTAAGAACGAATTGAACAACTGGGCCTCAGGAAAGACCAGAGCCAGGGCAGCTCCAAGGACCCAAGCCCCCAGAGTCAACCTCCCCTGAGACCTCCCCCGTTAAAGCCGCCCCACTCCTTCAGCTCTCTGTCTCTGCCTTGCAGTTCAAAATTCCAGGGTCTTGAGAGAAGGAATCTGACTGATCTGGCTTGGTTCAGCTATTCCCTCCATGCTCATCAGCTGTGGCTGGAGGGAGGGAGAAACAAGAGTCATTTAGTATAGAACGTATTCCACAGATTCAGCTGCTGAGCCCCTCACCATGAGTATCCCGGGGTTTGCAGAATCTAGGCCCTCATGGTGAGCTTTGCAGCCCTCCAAGAGTTGCCTATAGAAGTTCCATATAATTACGGAGGATTTGTCATCCCCAGGAAGGCCAATACAATTGATGACCTTCCCACAAAGTCCTGAAAGGCTATCTGGTCCATGCAGTCAGAAGAAAAGACTCCTGCAGCTGTGTATCCATTTGGTTTCACTGTATGTGCTGCAGGCAGTGATGTTTTTCACTCACCAAAGGCCTTATTTACCAGTTCTCTTACCACCAACAGTAAGTCAGTTCTTCGTGTGTCTCTGACAGCCTGGAGCAGACCTGCAGCTCTGTAGAGCTATTTAGAGGCCAAATTACCATCAGAAATGAATTCTGGCAAAAGTCACAAAATTATTTTCCTGTGTCTTGCTTGGCAATCTTTTAAAATATTTTTAAAATTATAATACATTTAAAAATAATCCCACAGAAACCCACAAAGGCAGCCATTCCCCGGATGCAACAGATGTTAACAATTTGCCATTTTGCTTCAGATTTCTTAATCTTCTTAAAACACATAAAACATTGCAGCTACAGCTAAGTCCCTGCCCCACATCCCTCCTCCCTCCCGCCCACATAGGTATGAGTACCGGCCTGCAGTTGGTAGTATATCATTTCCAAGAGCAATTTGCGTTTTGACTCTCCTCTGTGTTCGGACCTCAGGTGCAGGACTGAATGCAACATACCCAGTGGCACACTCTCATCACTGTTCGTTCCGCACAAGGGCCCTGTCTTGGTTTATTTCTCTGTTCCTCTTATCCTTAAGGGTTCACTGCCCCAGTCCCTGCTCCCCCACCCTAAAGAAAGGTAACCACGTTAATGGTTGACATCATGTCTTTGTATGTGTCCCTATAAACATACATCACCCTTCCGTGTACATATGTGCTTCTCGTTTACGTAAACGATACTGTACTGTAGATTTTAGTGCTGCTTGCCCTTTTCAGTCAGCACTGCTTTTAAGGTCCACACACATTGGTGAGTGTACATCTAGTTGCTTGTATAGCACCTGCGGTGGACTCAATGCATTCTTATTCCATTCCCCTAGTGAGGTGGGGGAGAGAGAAATAAACTGAGGCGACGGTTAGAAGTAGGCTTCTCCTTTAGACTCTATCCCAGGAAAGAGGTGTGCCAAAGCCCCTGCCTCGACCATGCATGTGTGCATACGCGCACGCACACCTCTTCAACGGGCAAGTGGAGTGGGTGGGGAAAGCAAGCTGGGGGTTCTATCAAGGGAAGCCCTGCCCTGGAGCTCCGGGACTTCCAGACCCACGTCCTTTCCTCCTCCGAGGAGCCTGCCCTGTCCACCGTACTTCATGCAGGTCTCTCCCGCTTCTGATGACTGTGATTCTCATTTAACCGTAGACTAATCTGTCCTAGTCTTTCTGTTCCTACCTCCCCATTCAGACTGATGTCCTACTGAAGGAAAGGAACATCTCTTGTCTTGTTTGTCTCTCTTGCTCAAGGCCTGGCCCAGAGGACAGGAAGGAAGGGAGTGAGGAGTTGAATCATGATTTTACTTAAGTCAGCCTTGCTCCCTCTGTTTTAGGGACAGGCCATCTTTCAACAAACACATGTAAAGAAGGTTCTTAGAAACCCAGAGAAGACACACTGCTCCAGTTCTCAGGGAGCCCTTTCGTGAGGAACGAAAACATCCAAACATGAAGTTGTAGGACAAGGTGGAGAATGCAAAGACTTGGGCACATACCTGGGGCACAGAGGAGGAAACCCCGGCTCAGGACAAAGCGAGGCTGGGGGCGGGGGGGGGGGCGGCTCCTAGAGGAGGTGACTTCCAAGCTGAACCTGGGAACCCAGTCAGAACAGGTGCTTGGACAGGACAAAAGCTAAGTTTATAATTAGGAGTACATGACAAGATTGTGAATTAAGATTGAGAGGATGCAAGAAGTTTTAGTATTGTATGCATTTCAGGTACTATGGCTGTGTAAGAAATTACTGTAATACTGGCATCCAATAACCATTTATGTTTGCAGATTCCTTGGGTCAGGAATCTGGAGAGGGTACAGCCAGCAGGGCTTCTGTCTGCTCTGTGTTGTCTGGGGCCTCAGCTCTGGGATCCCCTGAAGGCTCATTCACTCGCAAATCTGGTGGTTGGCGCTGGCTGGAGGCTGGAGGCCTCAGCTCCTCTCCACATGGGTCTTTCCACTGGTCTCTCCACAGAGGCTAGTTTGGGCCTAGTCAGTAAATGGCAGTTGGATGAGGACCCCCAAAAAGGGGAGAGCCAGGTGGGAGTTATACCCTTTGCATGACTTAGCATTCAAAGTCACCATTTGTGCCACACTCTGCAGGCAGAGCAGTCACAAGCCCCTGCCCAGATTCAGTGAGAGGGAACGTAGATCTCATGACTCAATGGGAGGCCTGCCGGTCATGCTGCAGGAAGAGCCTGTGTGATGGGGTATGCATTTTGATATGGTCATCTTTGGAAAGTACAATCCTCACAGTATTTATTGACAGAGTGGAGGGACAATAATGGATAGACAGGGAGGATATGAAAGACGAAGGCAGCGAGATACAAGGCTACAAGGATAGGTCAGGCCAGGTTCTGGAAGGTTTTAAAAACCACACTTAAAAGAATGCTTATAGGCAAAGGAGGACTTTAGAAGCCCCAGGACTCCTGCCCACCCCCGCCTTCGGCACCCAGTACCCACTCTGTGCTTGATCAGAAAATACCTAAGGTCCTCTATGAATGGCTAAAGCAAAGGGACTTTCAGGGTTGGTCTGTAATCCCGAGTAAGAGTCGAAGGTGGCCAGCCACCAGCCCCTTTCCCTTGTCCCGGCGTGCACACGTATCCACACTAACTGGCCAAGCCCGATCTCTCAACACTAGAGAGACACAAATGCTGCTGCTTGGGTGGCAAGCAGGGACTCCTCAGAAGTGCCTTTCCAAGTTCATTCTGAATGGTCTTGGGCAAGGCAAAACCACACTTTACACACACACACACACACACACTCAGAGGCCCACACTGTGTAGGATAAAGGGGCAGCATCACATCAAGGAGAGAGCACTGGTTTGGTAGTCAGGTGTCTTGTGTTCTCATCCTGGCTCTGCCCAACCAGCTGTGATCCTCAGGGAGGACATTTGCTCTGCTGGAGCTTGCACACAAACACAAGAATTACACTAGACAGGAGTTCTCTGCAAGTATAGTCATTGGAGCTCTTCAGTTAAAGTCACTTGGCCTGAAAACTACAGTTAGCTACTACCTCATACCCCTTAGAATGGCTAAAATAAAGATTGACAATACCAAGTGCTGACAAGGATGCAGAGCAACTGGAACTCTCATACTTTGCTGGTGGAGATGCAAAATTGAATACCTACTTCAGAAAACACTTTGGCAGTATCCACTGAAGCTAAGCAATTTCTCTATGACCCAGCAATTCCACTCCTAGATATTTACCCCAAAGACATAAAAACATATGCTCATAAAAAGACTTATACAAAATAATTATAGCAGCTCTATTTGTAACAGCCAAAAATTGGAAATAACCCAAGTGTCCATCAATAGGCAAACAGATAAACTATTTAAACTATTTAACAGATAAGCCCCAGCCCTCTGCCCAGTCCTGGCTGGTATGGCTCAGTGGATTGAGCACCAGCTTGCAAACCAAAATGTTGCCAACTTGATTCTTGGTCAGGGCACACGCCTGGGCTGCATGCCTGGGTTGTGGGCCAGGTCCCCAGTAGGGGGACGCGCAAGAGGAAACCACACTTTAATGTTTCCCCCCTCTCCTTCTCCCTCCCATCCCCCTATCTAAAAAATAAATAAATAAAGTCTTCTAAAAAATAAAAAGAAACAAACTACTGATTCTCACACATGGGTGGATCTCAAACATTATGCTGAATGAGAGACTTCAGACACAAAAGAATGTATACTGTATATAACTCCATTCATCATGAAGTAAAAAAACTTACAGTGACACTTAAAAATAGATGATGATGGAAGTCAGAACAGTGGTTGCCCTGGAGGGGCTTTGGGTGGGGTAGGGAGGGGGACACACAGAACTTTCTGGAGTGATAGAATCGTGCTGTATCTGATGGAATGTCGGTAACACAAATGTATCCATTTGTCAAATGCATAGACCTATACACTGAAGATCTGTGCATTTCGCTGTTTTACTTTAAAAAGTATTACAAAATTATGTGGACTGCCTGTTAAAAGGCAGTTCCCTGGGTACTCAGACCTACTGAGTCAGGGAGTCCTCTGGAGCAGGGCCCGGGAATCCGCATTCGGAGCAGACTCCAGCTTCGAGGAGGAGCGCATTAGATTTGAGCCCCACGCGCCTGGGGGCAATACCCACACACTGCTCTCCCCCCACGTCCCCACCACACAACCCGCCCTCCCCACCAGGCACTGGCCGCCTCCGCTCTCCCCAAGCCCCAGCCCTCTGCCCAGTCGCCCTTGGTAACCAAGAAAGAGCTTGAAAACCCTTTTGGCGGTCGCCGAAGGAGGGGCCATCCA